GTTAATTAGCTTTTGCTTTTCATTAAAATTCTTCGAAAGCCGTATTAAATTCAAGATTCTTTTTATAATTCAAAAGAAAATAATCATTAATTTATGATATATAACATGTGGTTTCTCTTTAGTGTATTTATGCAATTTTCCCTGAAAATCAATGAATGGGAATATTTATAGGTTAACTGTTGTATAGTTTTTATATTGAATGAAAAAGAAAAGTGTTTAATAGTCTTTTTTATCATAGAGCTGTTTCATGTTTTTTGAGATTATTTGATCTATATTCCATTGGACACCACCAGGCTGGCATCTTCTTAGGAGATCTACTGATACCTACATGCATTGCAATTATATGACGCAGTTCGTAAATGGTTTGGGAAAATTAAAAATCTGAAAATGGCATTTTCGAACTGTATATATCTTGTGTTCAATTGCAATCTGATCTAAACTGACAAAACAAACATGTAATAAGGGAAACAGAGTGCTTAGTATATTTGTCATAGTCCTTAAACTGATCAGAATCGGAAGTGACTAACACAACCGGAAGTACAGGTCTGCACCTCTCAGACCGAACTTTACTTCGAAAAAGCAGAACCCATAGCATCATGTTCTCTTATCTGAATGCATTAGACAACAAAAAATCAGAAATCTCACGTGTTCAAAAGTTTTCTAGACCCATTATGTTTCCAGGTATTGTAACTATATAATTTGTTTGTTTAAAATAATTTTGGTTCGTAATTTTTTTTCCGCAAAAATAGATAAATAAATAAAAAAATTAAACATTGACAGATAAATCTTAGACCATGTACAAAAGAAAGTAAATTGCATATATATATATATAGAGAGAGAGAGTTTGAGAGAGAGAGAGAGTTTAGCATGACGCAAGGTCTAACAGTTTTCCTGTCATAAACTGAAGGATTGGTCTGTTTTTCATCACGACGAAGAACAAGACCACTGCATATACATCTGGAAAGCAGCATTCAAATCAAATATAATTTTGGTCACGTAGTGGATTATTGTGGCGATTTTGGGGTCTTGAAAATCATATTTAAAAACAACGGAAGTTTCGGGGATTTTCTGTCATGAAACATTTGAACAAGTTCTTCATATACCTATTGCCAATTGAAAAAGTATATCGTAAAGTACTAATGGCCATTTGAGAAAGTTGTATCGTTTATGTACCAATTAAAATTACAACAATCACAGCAGAACTCTCCTTGTGTTTTGAGTTCTTAAAGAGCAATTATTTATTATTCGTAAGAAAAGTTTGATTAGGTCCTAGTTCTTAGTTCTAGATTCTGTTTGAGAGGGCATCGTTTGCAAGGTTTTGAACTATATACACATGTGTTTCGTTTCTTTCACAGTCCTGCTATTTAAGATTTTTACTGAAGTTGTTGACAATACACATTTATTGACTGGGTTCGAGAGCAACGTGCGTTTTGTCGGACACAAGAGCCAAACTTTGGTGCGAGGGTTTGGCAAAACGCACTTTGCTCGAGAACACAGTCAATGTTTTGTTATACTAGTACCTTTTACTCTTTATATTGACGTATCTTGCGCTGGCTTCCATGTTTGCGATACTAAATGTAAATTCATTTACCCGCACTGCAGATTTAACTCGGTCAATTCCATAACTGTTGAACACCAACGAATGTAAATAAAATGTAGGCGATCCCGCCCACAGGTGACGTGAAAACGTCATAGCGGTCCAATATCTTATCGACTGGTTCAATATTTCCCTCAGTGGTCCTACGTCGAATTTTTTTTGGACCGCTCAGTAAAACATTTGAAATGTTAGACTTTCTCTAGTATAGGTTTATAAAAGAAACAATTTTTAAAGCATTTATCAAATGGGTTTAAAAGCAACATGCGTTTTGTCGGAGCCAAGAACCAAACTGTTTGCCTGAGGCCGTTAGGCCAAAGGCAAACAGTTTGGTTAGAGGGGTCAACAAACGCATCTTGCCCAAGAAAAAGGTCAATAAATGTTTTGTTTTACCTTTTACTTTTTATTTTGATATATTTTGCGCTGGCCTCCATGTTTGCGACAATTGATGTAATTTTTTTTACCTCCACCGTGGATTAAATGCAAATGAGATATATCTGATCCTGCCTACAGTGTGACGTAAAAAACATCATAGCTGTCCAATTTCTCATGGGCAGGTCCAATATCACTCAGCGGTCTAACATTGACTTTTTTTTGGACTGCTCCGTAGAACATTGAAAATGTTAGACTTTTTAAAGTGAAGATTTATATAGGAAACAATTCTGAAAGATAAAGCAAAGAGTTAATTAATAGCATTATCAATTGAATTCAAGTGTACATAACTCCATAACCACAGGAGTTTATTTTCGCAATTTACGGAGTTAAAACGTGAAATAAAGCACTGTTCAAAATTAAGGTAAAAAATGAAGTGACAATAGAGGGGACAATAAACAACGAATTCACAGAGAGTAAAACAGAATCTGAAAATCGAGTAAAAATAAAGATATAACAAGTGTGCATTTGGTTAATTTCTGATAATTGATTTCAGAATTTTCAGGTTAAAGCCGTGGTTTTCAAATATTAAAAAAAAAATCTTATTTGACCAGCTCCGACATACATATAACACACTGAATCGCAATCCATTGTTATCTGGTAATTTGTACAAAATATTTGTCCATCCCTAATGAATAACAGATTTACAAATATAAAGAGTTTCCTCTTGATATTTATTGAATCAGCTTAACTTTATCAATAAATGATTGGATTAACACAAAAACACTAAAGTTGGTCAAGGCGCTATGTGTTTATACCAGTTTGAAAATAAATTTGTGGAAAGACGCACAAGAGACTTTGATCGCGCCTTAACAAGGTGATAATATCGAAAGAATACATCACAATTACAACGTTTAAAAGGAATAAAAAAATGAACTGAAAACTGAGAAATGACTCATGGCTAATCGTCTTGTGTACTTTAAGTTGTAAACATTAAATGTGAATGTGTTACTACAATGATCCGATGTAACACTTTGATAGAATAGAATATATAAATACATTAACCTGCTAATTAGGTGTGAATATGTAAGATCAACTGTGGGATCGCACTTAAGCCTAAAATTTACGAATCATTGAAAATGTTGGCCACTTTGCCCAGTAAACATCTTCACACTATAGCCCGGTATTATGGCGATCATTTTTACTGATCACACAATAGATACTGTAATATAATCACTATCTAATATAGATACAGCATCTAATTGATCAATCGACTGATGTCTGCATGCTTCTTTCTTCTTAGCCTTTTATGTCGGATAGTTTTGTCTAAGTACTCTTTAAAGTTGTAATATATCAATTTTTTTTATGTCGACAGACTTTGGATATAGAGAGGGACCATTTTTCTAACAATTTAATCAAGTATGGTGTCCGATGAAGTAGATAAAATGTGTCCCTCTTTTTACTGACTTTAAAAAAATATGTCCCTTTTGAAGGGTTACAACATAAGTCAGATACCCATTTTCAACATAATTTATTAAACTAAACTGATCCAAAATGTTGTTTTCACGTTTACTCCTTAATCTCATGGATATTATTTTTCATATCTCATACTTTGTATCTCAACGCCTCTTGATGTCATATAAACAAATAAATGAGATAACATTTGTCAAACGAAAAATCGAGATAGAATTTATAACAATTTATTTAATAAAAACAATGAAATATAAAAAAATTTTAAAAAAAGAGCATTTTGCCTTTTTTTAAATACGCACTATTTCTAGCGGTGTAATATCTCTTGCAGAGTTATGCAGCCGACGGGAAAGTGACTGTATAAAACCATTAAAAATAAGTTAAAAATGAAAATTTGATACAATGTTAAAAAAAAAAAAGTTTTGCGATTGGATATGACTTTGCCCTTTAATCATCGCTGTCTGTTTTCTTACCCTTCGCCAAATGCTCGGGATAGAAAACACGTTACTCGTTGGATAGAAATCATACATGTATCAGTCAAAACTTTGGAAAATCCAATATCAATTCCTTTCAAAAGAAAATTTTGCGAATGATTTTAGAACAAAATATCGATCAGAATACCTACATGTAACACGAGTAACCACTAACTGTATAAAAATCCCTCTAATTTTATTACACTTTGGAACATATATCACAAGACTCAAATTGGCATATTCCTTGGTCGATTTTGACATATGTAATACATCAAAGAATTTCACAAAAAAAAAAAAAATAACAAATGAGATGTGTTTGCCTAAGAAAATTTACATTATCTAATATATAAAAAAATCTTACAGGAAGAGTAAGGCTTTCAAATTATACAAACCACAAAATACGCACATACATGTCAATGAAACATGCCAAGGCATTCATTGAGAAATGGCCTGAGAATAAAGATAATATCGTAACCCTGCTAACATTGTGCACATAGATATACACATCGAGCTTGAGTAAACCTTAAAATATATAGTGTGCCGTACAAAAGGATAGATTTAATGCATCGTCTGTTTTTAACCGCAATTCATTCTGCACAGAATTATTGAATTAGTTCATTGACAAGAATCAGGGGTAAACTTTCTCCTCAAATCTTCGACGACAGTCAAGGATATTCTATATAGGGGTGTCACAATAGCTTTAAAAAAATGATATTACTTATCTGGCTGTATCTTAATTGCAACCCGAAACTGAGACCCCTGTGTTCTTGAGGTGTAAAGTTTATACCTAAGTTTTATTTCTATATCATAAATGAAGAGTTTACCTGTAATCGTCACCTATGAAAGCACACATTGCCCTGACACACACGGTTCTGATTTACTTCATTAAACGCGATGCCGTCTAGTAATTATAACACCTGTGAAGGGGAATTGATAGATATACTTAAAAAACGCGCATGTGCTTCGAATTAAAATGGATTGCTTTTAAACAAACCAACTACTTTATCATATTCTTTAAGCAGGTAAATAAAGAGAAGTTCCATTGATACCGAGCGGATTCGCTGACTCGCATCCTCATTGGCTGAGCCGATTGTGACATAGTGTGCGACAAACTCAACTGATCTAGGGGCGCTTAAGTATTATATACTCCCCTGCCCGCTCTAGCTACACGTATACCCAGGTTTATTGATATTACCTATATTCATCATCACATGTAGCTAGGATCTTAAGTGTTACAAATTGATTTCAGTGTTCATGAATCAGTGCCTCACTATGTCTGGATTCAAGGCCGTGATGATGCTAGGAATTGCATTGTTCCACATTTTGTGAAGCAAACTATTCATTTTGTCATCAGTTGTCAAACGGCAAATGCACGTGCACATGTACACTGTACGTAAGACTTATTCAGCTGATATGATATTCTGGAAACGTTCATCTACTTTTACATGGACTGTTATCCTATATCTAGTTCACAGTGTATTAGGGACCAGTGATTATGTAATTTTAGACCAGCATCAGGGTAAGTATTGTACGATCAGGTTTCTCTATAGAAAACAGCTTACATTGCAGTTTTCAAATTGACCCATTTAATTATTTACCATTTGACTGAAAACAATGAAACTTTGAATAAAATTTTGAATTTTTAAAGCCTTTTGCAATGCATGTTTGTTCAAATATCTTTCACATACTTCCCTTAAATCCCGATGGTATATGTTTTCAAAAAAAAAGTTCATATCAGTTAGATATAATAACTTTAATATCTATTGTATTGCACGCACAAGCTATTAATATTGAAAGGAAAAGGTGAATAAGAAAATATTTCAAAATATTTGTAATATAAACCAAATTCTATAACCCATTCAAAGATTCTTTTCTTATCAGCGTAACGTATCATTATATGTCTTTGAAAGGATTGTAAATTAACAAATCTGAAGTGTAATGGCGTGTAATAAATATATATAAATGAAATAAAGTCCTTTTACATTCTTTAAAACAAGATATATAGAGAATTATTATTCAATACTGCAAAAACCCGGCAACCCCATATGGTCTGACCTACTTCAAAAACTTCCCGTGTCTTGCACCTTGCTAATGTCAATGGTCACGATACTATGCATATTTTCCACAGGATTACAAAGTTATCAGATGTGAGTGAAACAACCCATACTTTATACGGTTAATAAATTTTTTGCCACGAAGGCTGGCAAATGAGTATGTCAAAGATTAAGTCTCCACTCTAGATTTTTGTGGCAGATCGGTAAAAATTAAAGGTTGTGTATATGACATTTTGTTTAGATTGATAGCAGTTTTGGATAATCTAGCAATAGAGTGTAGTCTTGTAAAATCTTTTATCTCTGTTATCCTCGAATGTTGATGTATGGTAAATCTGACATTTAGTATCTGATCGCTCTCAAGTTGATAAACTTTTGGTCTGAAGGTTTCTCTCTTTGGTCACAATATTGTGTAATTCTTCCTAAAGATCACACGAATTCTTAAAAAGCTTCTACGATTTTATTACAATAGATCGGCATGTGATACCGAAAACTACACACTTATAATGAAAAACAGTGCAGTCAAATGTCGCCCAGGTCCTGATGTTTGTTTGCATCTATACAATTCAATGCATTATCTATGTCTCCCAGGCCTAAGATAAATGAACTTTCTTTGTATGCTTCAACCTGCATTACCTTAAGTGTTACATAATCACACCTGACAGCTAATTTTGAAGATTCTTTTTTAAAGATAAAAACTTCTTCTTAAGAGATAACTATATTTTGAAGTGCAGAATCAGTGCTAGGTGAACAGATATAAATTCATGCTGACATGCAAAACACTTGATCTATTTTTAAACGATATAAACATCAATGAGAACATTATATTTGCAGACATGGTAAGATTGAACATATATACTTTTTTTTTTACAGGTAGTATTGTAAACAAATTGGATAATTATGATATAACCATTCCCGTGCGAGTAACAAGCAATGGTGACGTCATCTCAAATGAACTTCATCCTCATAAATTACGTCATCGTAGAAATAGTGACCAAATTTTAGACACGATACATTATAAATTAAATGTGAAAAACAGTGACTATATACTCAAATTAAAGCCAAATATTAAACTGTATAATCCATCATTAGTTATTGAAAGAAAGAAAAATATATTCAACAATGTTTCGGACTCTAGTTTTGTGCGCTATACGAACAACAACCACCCACCATGCCATTATACAGGAGAAATTATCGACAAAGGGAACAGCAAAGTTGCATTGGCATTGTGTGACGGTTTGGTAAGTGCCCTATTTTCTCACGAATTTATGTAACTTTATATACATGCTATAAAAATCGAAAGTGTTGTATAATGTATTTATTACATTTGTACACGACTTCCGGAATAAGTTATTCTAATTGTGTCCTATACCTTCTCATCTCATTTGCAAAAAGTCGTTTAACAGCAACGTTGTTTATCAGTATATATCAGTATGAAGTCATCATTTAAAATATGATTGTTGTAGACATAAAGAGGTAATTAGGGGGCTGTATTTGTTTCTGTAAACATAATTATTATCGTCAGTGAGTGAAGGAAACTTTTTGTTAACTGCGCGCGCTACAAAGGTAGGAGCCCCTCTTCAAAGATTCCCCCATCAATGTTACCGGCGGTGATTAGTGTAAGGTTATAGACGGTAACACTGTTAATTGCTGGTCTTTATCATCGTCTAGTAAATATTCCAATCACTGAACTTCTCCGATACCTTTATATTCCTAGAAATAACAAGCAGATGTTGCAGAGAGCGAGGTGATCGTATACCACGGGATTTTGGCATTCAAAAAAAGTGGCTACCGTGTGCAAGATGCCAATACGTATTTTTCTTGCACTGTTGATAAATACAGAAGGTTTTTGGTACCCTTTGACGGGTTGTGTGGGATTTTAAAATAAACTTTCGTCCGTTTAATCTCAAATAAACCTCTTCATAAAAGGGAAGATCTGGCACACCGCTGTGGTTCATTTATTTACTTCTTTTTAAAATTCTTATAATTGGGATGAGAATAGAATATGCATGTTCACCACATATTAAAAGTTGCATGCTTTGAAGACCAGTTGCTCCCTTTAATCCCAAATAAATCACTTAAAAACTTTAAATGGGTCACGGTCTGACCCACAGGGTAGAGTTACATGGTGTTTTGTTCGCTGTGTGGCACAAAAAGAAGATCCTAGTTTTTTTTTCATTCATAATTTACCAATCTTTTACATATTTACTGTGAGAACATGTTCGGAGAAATATCGTTTAATTGATCTAGGGACCTACAACAAGATCGTGTGTGCAGGATCGCTTACATTTCCATTCATATATTTAAAAGGGGTTCCATTGAAAACTTGTAATCACTACCAACCATTACAATGACATATATATAATCTTTTGGATCGAATGGACTATAATTAATTATGTCTGGAATACTGGACAGATACTTTACGCTCCCCCGGTACAAATTTATGAATGAATTTGAATTGAGGAAAATGCTTCGATTGCACATATAACTAAGAGATTCATAATCAGCGATTAATGCATTGTCATATTATGTAACCATACAGGCAGCTTATCATTTATTAATATTTGTATACTTTTAAAACTTTAAAAAGATTTGTATAAAGACACCGGTAGTCCACACACGGGTGCACGTGGTATTTGAATTCAAGGACGATCTCGTAAAATCACAAACATATTAGAATATAAGATATCATATATAAAATGTCTTCTTAAAAAAATTACAGTTTCCCGTTCTTACAAGTGTAATTGCAACATCATGCACTTAGTATATTAAAAGATACCTTGTTGTGACGGCTTAGTTGAATATTATCTACCCCACAGAAAAAGGTTATGTAGCGCTTGCCCGCACTTACCCCGAAAGTTGATCCCTCTTCTTTAGAGTGAAAAAGAACGAATTGTGAAAGTTCAAGTGTGATAAAACTTGTTCTTATTAAGTTTTTAATTTGAAAAAGAAAAATAAACTATTTCCCAATTTTTTGTCCTTTGATGTCGTGACTTTTCATTTCTTGTGTAAAGCAACTCTGAAATTATTCAAAAAACACTATACTATGAAGTGGAGGTGTAATATATCGTCTTTAAAAAGTCTTAAGAAACCCTTTCTTGGTTTGCAAATGATTTCCCATGAAGTGCTTTTAATGATCGATTCGGCAAACAAAAGCTATTAACAGTCATACTCTATCGGAAATGAATTAAGAAGATATTTATTTTTTTGACCACTTGACACAGATTTTCCCCAAATTTTGTCTGCTTTTGAAAAAAGCAAATTTATCGATGTTGTGATATTTTCAAGATGGCAGTTTTTGCACCATTTTTTCCCCATTTCCCTGAATTACATATACACAAGCATATTAACATCAAATTTATGAAATGAAAGAAGAGAAAGTTATTGTTTTCCTGCTGGTCTTCTTTCTGTTGTTGTTTTTGTTCCAGTGTCTGTGCAAACAACCTCAAAAAAACTGTAAGCATTGTTGTAAGAGAAACACGTGTTGTCATAACTCACAAAGCGATCTCCTTTTCTTCTGGCATCTACCGTGTATTATAAAAGTATTAAACGATTTCTATCAGAAAAAAATGTCATTTTTTCCTTCTTGGTTCTCATTGAAGTTGAAGTGAGGAATGGTTTATGTATGCCCCATTACACTATCTTTGACTTTTAATGAGAGAGCTGGGAAATCACTGTTATTTATTTTTTAAAAAAATCACACATGTACGAAATTAATCACGTGCCATTGATAATCCAATTTATAATGTTCCTGTCTGCTTAATCTAGACGCTCCATATTCACTATTTTTACGCTTTCTTGCAGCATGGGTTAATTCATACTGGTGATACAACATATTTTATTGAACCAATGCAACAACCAAAAAATAGTAGTGGTCATCCTCATGTTATATACCAACATGGACCAAGGACAGAAACTGACGCTGATCATTCAAGTCAAAAAGACGCTTGTGGAAACGATGGTACTACAACTATTATCTCCCCATCTTTCAATAAATGTTTTTCTTAAATTTCATCATATTATTTTGGAATTTTGGGAACGTACTCTAAAACCATTATGACTCAGTTACAGTAATAAATCAAAGAAAATTACTTTGTCAAGAATCCAAGGGTCATGAATAAAAATGAATTAATTTCATTGTTATATAGTATCGGCCACTGTAAAATTAGATATGGCACAATCTTGTTTTCGTACGTGCAAATTGAGCAATTAGTTTTATCAGCAACATGACTCCATTTTTGGAAATTAGACGATAAATTCAGAAAATGGGGAATCTTGTCATTTGCGATAAATTCACCGATAAACAGAATCCATAAACGAAAGTATAGTGTACATGTATAATAATGCTAATTATTTCGTATTGAGAATAAATAAGTTCAAAATTCAATATTTTACAAGAAATAAAAACAAAGAAAGCAAACAAACAAAGGGAAAGATGGGAGGCTAACCATCAGCGGAGAAGCGGACGAAGCAACAGACGACATAAACGATCTATCTCTGTGGAGCATCACGTGGAGACCTTAGTGGTTGTGGACCCGGATATGACGGAATATTACAAAAATGAAGACGTCACGACTTACGTCCTTACCATTATGAACATGGTATGTCGGGAATCTACTAACCCCAACCCACACAACAACAACAACTACAGATGCCTATAATAATAATAATTAAAAACAACACTCGACGAGAAAATATATTATTTTTTTTCACATCTAATACATGTAAAAAAAAAAAAAAAAAACTCCTGTTATCTAAAAATAATAAAAGATGCCTTTTCTTATATCGCTCCAGGTGTCTCAACTGTTCCACGATGCTTCACTGGGAAATGCAGTCAATATAGTGGTCGTCCGCATTATTTTACTAGAGGATCAACAGGTATACAGACACTAGTTTTACTCATAGTGTTTTACACGAATGTGTCTGGAACCGAATGCCAAACTAACGGGTCTTTTATCAGTTTATCATAAATGACCATTTTAAAATTCCAGACATTGTACATATATGTCACTTTTATTTGCTTGGTGTCTGATACCATTAAAAATGGTTCGCTCATTTAGGTCCAAATCATATTTTTGTGTTCACGAAAATGGTTTTATGCTGTAACCATAAAGTTAACATAATAATTTCAATTTAGGAAGGCCTTATAATAACACATCATGCAGACAAATCGCTACGAAGCTTTTGCAAATGGCAGACCAAGATTAACATGAAAGAGGAAGACCATCCCAATCATCATGATGTGGCTATACTCCTGACAAGGTCCTTAACATTATGAAACAATATTAAAATAAATAATGAATAATAATGGGACAAAATAAGTTACTACATGTCTTGTTGAGGTATTATCAGTAGTACCAATTTTACTAAATTTACAAATTTTCTAAAGAGAATGGTATTCTGGTTGCAGGAAAAATATCTGTGCTCGAATGAATAGACCATGTAACACACTAGGATTGGCCCAGACATCTGGGATGTGTCAGCCACACCGAAGCTGCAACATCAACGAAGACACGGGACTCTCACTGGCCTACACAGTTGCTCATGAGCTAGGGCACAAGTAGGTTACACCAGCCTGGTTAGCAATTTGACGATGATATTTTTTCTCTTCAACAATTTTATGCAAGCTTTTCTTGGCTAAATATCAAGCACAGTGCTCAAAGCAGAGTAAGGAAAGGGCAATGTATATTAATCACGGGAAAAGTCACTAAATTTTATCATAGGAAATGGCACTAAAAATTTATCCCAGGAAAGGGCACTAAATATCATTACAGGAAAGAACAATAAATAATGATAACAACAAAGCACACTAAAATATTAATCACAGCACTGCACATTTATAATAATAGGAAAGGGCACCAAATAAGCACACTAAATATTAATATAAATACATGCAATAAAGTGCACTAAATATTAATCGCAGGAGAGGGCACTAAAATATTAATCATAGGAAAAAACACTAAAATTTAAATTACAGATAGCACACTAGATATTAGTCACAGAAGAGGGCATTAATTTATCTTAGGAAAGCACACTGAATATTTATTACAGCAAAGCAAACTAAATATTAACGCACAGGAAAGCACATTAAATATCAATCAAACGTAAGGACACTAAATATCAATCACAGGGATTGCCACTAAATATGAATTACAGGAAAAGGGCACTAAAATGTAAATCACAGGAAAGAGCAATAAATTTTCAGACATTCTTGTTTTGTAGTTTTGGGATGAACCATGATAGTCGTAGGAACGGTTGCAAAACATCAAACAAGGACCACTTCCTTTACCTGATGCAGAATCAGCTTATGGCGGTCAGTCCACTGATGAAGTGGTCAAACTGCAGCAAGCGTGCAATCACGGAGTTCATTGAGTATGTGTCACTGTTAACGGCTTTACACCCCCTTTGAAAATCTCACAGCCTCACTCTGTACCTAGTATCGTTCTATAATTTTGTCATTATGCTGTATTCAAAATTACATCTAAGTTACATTCTGTTGTTCCCATGCAGTTTCCACTCCTATACACGTGAAAATTATCAGGCTATATAATGCAATGAAATAAATCTCTTGCAATTTTTTGGAAAAAATGTGCATATTATCATGTTTATGATCGAGAAGTTGTCTCATTGTAAACGCACTGGATTCTATAATGAGGTCAATATTTTTCTTGGCACAGTCGAGGGTGGGGTTACTGTCTGGAGGATGAACCTGCCAAGTACAGGGATACGGAATACGAGTACCCAGTACTACCACCCGGTACCATGTATGACGTCGAACATCAGTGCAGGCTCGCTTACGGTCAAAACTCCTCCTTTTGTGGGGAACAGGTATAAACAGTCATACAGTTCTTGTCCTCTACTACACAAATACTCAAAGTAAAGTCCATTTTTTTGATGGCAGATCAATGATTCAAGTACATTTTAAATATTATTTTTTTAATGATTCTCTAAGGAGGACATATGCAGCACTCTTTGGTGCCGAATGGACAACAAGTGTTCTACAAGACTGGAGGCCGCTGCTGAAGGAACAATATGTGGGCCAAATAAGGTATACATACGCATTTTGTAGTCCAGGAAACCAACTACTTGAAACAATAGATACATCTGTCCATAAAGCAAGTTTCTTAAACATAGATACTAGTATATTACAAAAGTATTTTTTGGAACAATTTGCAGTGGTGTTTCAATGAGCAATGCGTGGAAATTGGCGACAGACCGGAATCTATCAATGGTAACTGGGGAGAGTGGAGTAGTTGGTCTACGTGTTCCAGAACCTGCGGTGCCGGAGTTTCTGCACGAGAGCGTCACTGCGATAACCCAAGGTATGTTTTAAACAAAGATCAAAACCTCTCCATGCTGTGGCTTTTTATTGCATTACATCACCAGGTTTGTTTGGGTTAAAAGTAGATTGAGTTTATATATGCTATTATTGAACACCTGTTAATGTGAGGTTATTTTTTTTTGCAAAGGATGAAAACCAAAGCACTGAGGGATCAAATGATGACGGAATACTTTGAAAAATTTAGAGAAAACATACTGAGGTGTCTTTCTAACTTTATTTTCAGACCCGCTAATGGAGGAAAATACTGCATAGGGGAAAGAAAAAGATACAGAATATGCAACACGGAGGTATCATAAACATCTTAATGCTTTTTGCTAGCTTCCTCTCGGCAGAAACGGATCTATTTTTCATCATAGCCTTCGATGCATAAAATTTTATCTTTTTGTTTTCTTGGCAATTATTACGATTTTCCCATTGAGTTTGTGTCCTCTGGCTACATGTAATCAAGACTTAATTAACACAATCTTAAAAACAGCGCGATAATCAGGGGTCGCTGAGAAGACATCTTTTTGTTGCTAGATATATTTAGTAACATCCATTATGTTTGTCATGATTCTGCCAATATCTTTCGCCGTTTGAAATGATTAAGATATTGTACATAAGAAAATCCGACTTTGATTGAAAACTTCGTACGGATATTACATTGAAAACCATGAATAATCTACATAGATCTTAAATCAAATTTATCTACATAAGTATAAATGGGGTTCAATTTCATTTTATCAATCTGATAAATTTGGTGTTCTTGCATTTTGAAGGCATGCCCGGAAAATAGCCTAAGCTTTCAGGAGGCTCAATGTGACGAGTTCAACTACATACCCTATCAAAACGGACTTTATGAGTGGCAGCATGTCCCAACCCCAAGTAGGTCTTGGTATTCACACATATCTTTATGTTTGTTTTCATTTTACAAACTTTTTTTTTTGATGGATGGGGTCGGTTTGACATTCTAGATGAATTATATTTTCAGTTCACTTAAAACATATTCCCCGTGGCCAGTACAGAAAAACCTTTAAAAAATTAAACCTTATTCATAAAGCAAATATTTGAATTTTGATATTTTACCAGCATATGCTACGTTGGTATTTTGACTACCTGGGTTAGATTGATTGGTTAGATTAATTGATACGAACATTTGTCAGAAAGTCAAAAAGTCAGAAGTACTCTAAGATAAGAGTGTATTTACTCCGATAGATTAAAAAGGAATGTGGATAGAATAAATACTTTACATGTATGTTCAAAATTGATGTTGCATTCACATTTACTTTAAGTTGCTATCTTTTCATGTATTAATAATTCTTAAGGTCATATGCAACGTACATATACATATACCTGTACTTTACAATGAACCTTTCCCACCGATTATTTTTGAAGATATTCTTAATTTAAAATCAAAGTACCATTTGATGTTCTTTGACCAAAAAAAAAAAAAAAAAAAAAAAAAAAAAAAAAAAAAAAAAAAATCAGCATACATGTACATTACCAGGAACTTTGAACAGATATCAAATGATAAATATCCTTTTTTTTTTTTAAAAGAAAAATTAACAAAAATATAGTTTTAGCTGGTATTTTCTCAGAATTTGATGCAAAGGAGGTGTACAGCATTACCAGGCATAATAAAATTGCATTAAAGGTCCTTCAATTATTAAAACTTTTAAATTATTAGAAAATAAAATTCAAAACTACGTTTCATTCGTCCTTAAATGCTTTTTATGCAATTCAACAAAACCAATGTATCAAACACACACAGTGGCGGATTTAAGGGGGGGGGGCGCACCCCCCCCCCCCCAAAAAAAACTGTCAAAGTTAGCGTAAATCATAGTTAAGTCCGGAAAATGAAAAAAAAAATGTCTACTCGCTAGACCTCATTTTTACCCTACAAAATCTCTAGAATCCAGGAGCTTCTGGGCCCCCACCAGGGCTTTGCCCTGGACCCACTGGGGGCCTCAAAGTGGCCCCCCAGCCTACTTTCTGCGCCCCCTAACTTCAATTCCTGGATCCGCGCCTGATACAAAACTCCTTTATTTGTCCTGAAAAACACAGTGCTATGCAGTTGTATAATTCACAAAATTCGGTTGCCATCTATAACAGGCACTAATATTTTAAAAAAGAAATATGCATAATAATAAATTCGGTAACTTGTTTTCGTTTCTTCTGAGTAACATTTTCAATTGGAATGTTAAATTGTCGCGGCTCCCAATTCATTATGTAGCGGAAATGTAAGAGTTCATGTTTGTAAACAATATACAGAAAAGTAGCTCTCTGTGACACTCTTTTTATGGAAAACTTAACACGGCCCGTGTGATTCTGACAGATTTAGTACTTCAAACTTTTATTGGTCATGAATTAACCTCAGGCCACACAAAGCTTTTAACAAGTCCTTACATCTAAAATTGATCTCATAAATTATATTATAAATGTCAAAATATATCTCGTTCCTTATCCCGTCAACATGGAATTGCACCCCCTGAGTGTGTACTTTAATAGATCCATTGTGTAATCTGCCAGAAATGTTTGCCAGATAAATAATATCCTAAATAGACGAAATAACCTTATTTTGCGTGGTATTAATATCTCTAGAAATTAAGGAAGCTGTACAAATTGCACACTGAAGAGTTCTAATTGTAGCGTTAGCAGTTAGAGTGAAATGCTCTTAGATGTCAGATAAAATAAGCAGGAATATAAAGTTAATGACACAATTTTTAAGACATTAAAAGTATTCTTAACATTATATACAACGGTAGAGGTAATTAATACATTATTTACATGTATTTTTCCAATGTAAGTAAACAGCAGTATTTCTGCGTTCTAATACTTCATTTTCTTTGAACATTTTTATGAGGAAAAATAAGAGAAGTCTTATGTTGAAAATGAACTAGGTAAACTCAATAAGTACACCTTTTTATTTTCTATTTTTTACAAAGTCCAAACACATTTTTCAATAGTGTTTAGAGCTTCCTTAACCAGCTTTTTTTTGTTTTTGTTTTATTTTTACGAAACAAACATGATAGTTGTTTATTACCTCTTTGGTTACTCAGGATGTAATACTATTTCAGGAACTCCGTGTCAATTGCATTGTAAACCCGAAAACAAGTTTTTCTCTGTCATGATGAAAGACATCGTTACTGATGGGACTCCATGTATGGCTGGCACTAGAAACTTATGCATCAGCGGCAGATGTCGGGTATGATTCAGATTTCAATGATACCTATCCATCACTAAAAAATTTAATGGCCGTTTCGTGCACATAACACTAGCAAGCAAATAAAAGCCCAGACATTTCAGCATTAGTTGCATTTTGTGCACGAAAGTTTTTATATTCTGACATGATATTCAAGGTTTTTATCACTATCTGTTAAGTCATTTGTGTTTATTTATAAGCCGTTTGTTGATATCTTTCGCTATCTGTTTCAGCATATTGGATGCGACTGGGGAATAGACTCCACAGCGAAAGAAGATAGATGTGGCGTTTGTCATGGCGACGGATCAACTTGTGAAACGATAAAAGACCAATATAACGAAACACAAGGAATGGGTTTGTGGAATTTGCCAGTCACTTCTTGAATAAAAAGCATTGTACTGAAAGATATTCTAGTTTTTATACAGGTATTAAAATTTTTCATTCAACTGGATCTTTCTTGAAATTTTATTTAATCAGGTTACGTTGAGGCGACTGTTATACCAAAGGATGCTCGTAACATTCGTGTGGAGGAAGTTGCTGGGGTGGATAACTACTTGGCACTTCAGAATGATAAGGGTCAGTACTACCTGAATGGTCACTGGTTCATTCAGTGGTCTGGAGACTACAACATTGCTGGTACTGTGGTACAATACAATCGTCAGGGTAACAGGGACAAATTTGAAGCCGTAGGACCAATCACTGAACCACTTCATATCATGGTAGTATTAGATTAGTTATCAATACATGTACATGTACGTATCTTTGCCGTACACTTCATGTCCTACAAGTTAGCAATGTATCCAATTTTCCAGCTCTTACTGCAGACACGGAACCCTGGTGTTGTGTTTGAATACACTGTTCCAAAGGAAAATGCTACAGATACTAGACCCCGTGAATTCCAGTGGACCTACATGGATTGGACACATTGTACCTCGTCTTGTGGATCAGGTATTTCATAGTTGTGTTAATGTAATTCCATGAATATCAATACAGATATGATTTATTTACTCTTACTTATTCCATCTTCGTTATTAATGATAGGTACACAAAGAGCCATTGTTGTTTGTTCTGAGAAAGAAGATGGACAAGTTGATGATGTTTACTGTAATAAGACACACAAACCTGATGACTTGCAAAGAGCTTGTAACATCCATCTCTGTCCAGCCAGGTAAACATACAATCATACACTTTATAACTATAACCATATGTTTGAGATACATGAGAATTATCTTCCATTACAATTTTCCAATTTACTTTCCTTCCAGATGGTGGGCAGGTCCTTGGCAGCATTGTTCCGTTACTTGTGGCAAGAATGGCGTCCACAAAAGGACTGTCATATGCGTACGCAGCCTAGGGAATGAAGAACAGATAGCCCTGGAAGATAAATCATGCCAAGGAGAAGAGAAGCCCACAGAAGTTGAGTCATGTCACCACAAAGACCCATGCCCAGGCACAGGCGAATGGGCTACAGGAAAGTGGACGCCTGTACGTTTTTTAAAAATAAATTTGTGATGCATTTTGTATTTGATAGAAAGTTTAACACATTAGTTATTCGTGAATTTTTTTGCAGTGTGATAGCAATCCATGTTCAGCACAGACTCGAGAAGTTAAGTGTTCATTACCAAGCATTGGTTGCGACAAAACCCCAATTCCAGCTCAGAAACGTCAGTGTTCCGATGTAATTTGCGAAAAATGGACAATTGGAAACTGGTCAGAGGTAAGCATTCTTTAAAAGAAAAAAATAAACTAAGAAAATATTGTAAACAATATTGAAAATTCTACCGTATTCTACATCCTTTATTTCTGTCTTTCTAGTGTTCTGTCAGTTGTGGATTTGGAGTTCGCGAGAGAAATGTCACGTGTCCTGAAACCAAAACGTGTGATGCAACACAAAAGCCAGAAGATACAGAAGCGTGTGGTCTTCTCGAGTGCCCATCCGCTCCAACCACAGAAATGGTTATAGATCTTATTGACATTCCAGAGGAATCAGCCGACGGCGGATACGAAAGAAAAGAGTTTATTGAAAATTATCGCATTATAAAAGGAATATCATCAACGATTTCATCCACCACTGTAGAATTTTCAAAAATGCCTCCGACAACAAGGCTTAATGGCAAAAGGGGGGTAACCGAAAGTCCGGTCTTGGCCACTGAGGTAACTGAAGACATTCCTCTGCAGCTTTTGGATATCAAAGAGGGTGGTACAGATGTTATCGTTGATAATAAAGATATTCAACAGCCGTCATCGTCGATGGAAAATAATAATATTCAGGGTGAAGACATGCTAGACAAAAAAGTCCAAGTACCGTCACCAATATCCGATTCTATACAACACAAACATAGGCATGGTCACACAACAAATGATAGGCAGAAGATGCTGTCTTCTCATGTTCATACGGATAAAATAGCTAATATTCCCCTTTTACCGGATATTAAAAAGCTCCGTCCGTTACCAAAGTTACCCTCATTGCCAAATATTTCTGGTCATCCACGGAGACGAATTAGTCCCAATACCATCATCATTCCTTCAGTTTTTGAGTGGGTCCCAAAGACGTGGAATCCGGTATGTTTTACACCTGTGGTAATTTTAACTAAATATTTATAATTTGCATTGCAGATTCACATAAATTTACCTTTTACTTTTATAATGCTTATTTTTGTACAGTGCTCTCGAAAGTGTGGTGGTGGAATTCAAACACGTGCGATTGGTTGTGTTGACTCAAAATCAGGCCAGGAAACAGAAGAGCATAATTGTAACATACTGACAAAGATGGACACAATTCGTCCCTGTAATACACAACAATGCTCAACGTGGCAAACGTCCAAGTGGAGTCAGGTACTCTCCCCCTTGTTTTACTGGAAAAGACATTGCAAACATTTATTATATTTTTAAGCCCTTCACAGAAATTGATAATTTGTATTTTCTGCAGTGTTCTGCCACTTGTGGGGAAGCCGTTCAAATCCGCGAGGTGGTTTGTTCAGAGAATTTGGACTGTGATCCAGACCAGAAACCAGTTAACATTCAACCCTGTGTTCTTCCAAAATGTCTAGCCTGGAAACATGGCCCTTGGAATACGGTAAAATTTTCTGTCGTAGAATTCATTTTGAAGACAGACTCTTTTAATTTTGATTTCTTGTTGAGTTTGCTAATGAACGCTATTTTAGTTTTGTCAATAATTTGCCGAAAATATGAAAATTAATTCTTTGATTTATTTTTAGTGCTCTAAAACGTGTGGTAAAGGACAGCAAATAAGAGCAGTGCAGTGCATAAATATAACATCTGAAACACTGGCCTCTGATTGTGACCTGTCGCAAAAACCAACTGAAGTCCAGTCCTGCAATCCGGATCCATGTCCACGTGGGCATTCAGGTACAATGAGATACTTTATTTCACCAGTCTTGTTTTTTTTCTGTTTTTAATGTCAGTTATTTCAGTGTTGTCTTAAATTTTACAGAACTGAAAACATCGAGGTGCAAAAGAAACAGGTTAAACAATAGAGTTTGTCGTAAATTACGAGAGAGAGGCCAATGTACTCGTGTGTATGTTAGAGTAAACTGTTGTAGAACATGTGAAATGAATAGATATCGAACAAGATGGCGACCAAGGAGAAGACAGGCACGATAGAAGCTGGAATGTTTAGAGCGAACTACAAACTCAGTGGTCCGGAAGGAAACTCACGCACAAAATTAGGATTTCCTCCTACAATGGAACCGAGCATTGTGTTCAGTACTCTGGAGGACAAATTAACCTGTTTCAGTATTCAAGTCTGCTGAAATCCATTATTTTTTTTTTGCTTGTTACGTCAGAATCATTCCCATAATTCCATATTTTATTACCGTTCAGATCGAATTGTTTCATGTTTGACATCTCTAATTTATCAATGAATTAGAATGATATAGTGTGTGTGTAATGTTTTATAGCTACTAGATATGCGACTGATAAAGAGTCTGATGTTACTCTTTATACATTATAATTGCTTTATACTCAGTAACCATTTTTTGTACATACAAAGTATACAATGCTTACAAAATATTTTGAAGATATTTATTTATATTATACAATTAATGTTTTGTGTACAATCCCTGTTGTTTTACAACTTTAAATGATACTCAATAAATACAATACTAAAAACACAAACAGTCCGAGTTTAATTTCAAAACAACCTCTATGAAAATGTAAGCAAACCAAACAAGTTACACTCTTTACCTCTATGTAAATGTAAGCAAAACCAAAAGTCACTAGCTGAGAAAAATAAAATTATATGCTAATCAATTTGTCATTGGAAAACACTGTTCTGGCAACAAAATTAGTTTTTTTTTTTTTGGTTTTGTTTGTTTGTTTGTTTTGTTTGTTTTTTTTCGGAAAATTTTATGCTATAAAATTGCAGTTATGATATTTCTGCATGCATCTTAAAACCAAGCGATAAATTTTATCAGAAGAATGATTTCTGAATTGTGGAATGAAAAGTAATTATATACCGGTATAAGAAACAAAGCTTTTTCAAAAAGCTTGCTGTCTTAAGCAACAACCTTTAACAGTACACTGACATAACCTATCAGGTTGTATTGTTCTTGGCTCTGTACATCTTCAACAGCTTTTTACAGACATTAACCCTATCATATAAACAAAGTAAAAAAGGAATATACACAAATTTCAATGTTTGTATGCAAAAAAAAAAACATTCTGTAAACTGTGAAATTTAAAAAAAAACAACTTTATAACAGTTGCTATAAAAAGATAAAGTGTCAGTTTCAATTATTGCAATTTTCTTTTCTATGTTTCGTCGATTTTTTAAAGATTGAAAAATTGTTAAGTCGAACGAAAATTAGATTACCAGAAAATTATCTCCCTTGCATTAAATAGTATTTCAACCAAAGAAATAATTGAAAATTTTCACATCCTGAACTTTCTACCAATCAGGGAAAAAAGGAAGTGCACAGTCCGAAGACTGTAAAATACTTCAACTCTGTATACCGTCTTCTAATGAAGACGGTAATTAATTATTTTTACATGACATAATGTAATTTTGCTTCAATCTGAGCATCTACATAGTTTCTCCAACCCATATATGAATAGCAGAAGTTTATAAACCATAATTTCTTCTGTCATTAAAATAGTAACTCACATTTTAACAAAAAATTCCAGCTCACATTGCTTTACCTATAATTATACTAAGGAGATGGGTGAACATGACGAGCGATAAGCCTATAGTGTGACAAACATGAAGATGAAAAATTAAATTCCAATTATATCAAAATTTTCCTTGATATTTCGTCTAACATAAAAATATACTTTATGTGAAATCTCTACAATTTGCAAAAATCCCGCAAAGATTGAAATTATTTGCCTTTGAAATATTAGACACACACAAAAGCGTGCTAAAAGAGTCATTTTCTCATACTATAATACTATTTTTCGATATGAGTGGGTCTTCGCTCCACCTTTTTGAAAGTTAATCCTCAAAGTTTGCATAAAAATATACATTTTTTGGTTACCAAAAATATGGAGCAATGACCCACTATACATTTAAAAGGCACCGTGTAATTCATGGACTGGAGGCTTGGAGTGGAGTTATGGAGTGGAGTTTGGAGTCAAATTTTGGAGTCTGATTTTTTTTTTTATGAGTTTGAGTTTTGTTATCAAGCACCAGCTAGTGCAATATTTAACATGCCTCTTAAGGCTAAATTTATTTAGTCTTGTTGAATCGCCTAAAAATCTGCTAAAAAACAGACAAATAATGTTTTTTTCCTATTTTATGTTAAATCGGTAAAGGGGGGAAGGTCTCTCATTTCCGTTTCATACTCCGTAATCTATTCCAGCATTCCAGGTTATTTTCAGCTCGTTGGAAATGCCTGAGATTTTCCGATTGTATTCTTGATTGCAATACCCAAAAATAAGAGCTACTGATGAATGCGTGATCTTTACATTGACAACTGCTCAATCATGGTATAAATATTTTCAAATTTAATTGGTCTTATTTACGTATGAAATTAAGATACAAAATTTATCGGATGACAACGCTATACTTTTATTATATTCCCATGTTGCTACTGAAGGTGACACATGTGTTCCTTGAAACAGTGTAGTGTATATCCCTATATGATTAGAGTTATGTCCAAGACACGATGTAGTTACGATATCGACAGATTACTTTTTTATAGTTTGCTACATTATTTCTTTATACTTATATGTATATTACTTCGAAGTTTTCCTTTCTGTCACGATATCATTTCGGATCATAATTGTTCAATGGATTATGGTCCCAGCCCGCAACCCCCAAAAATCCTGTTGCTTTTTAATATGTGAGTAACTTGAATACAATCTCTTTATGAAGTTTTCCTAATAGTGTCGATATCGTCATGTTCGCTAAACCCTTGGTACCGTAGTTGTCGTGGTATAAGTGTGTCTATGTTTACTTTACATTAAAGGAAAATTGTAATTGCAATTGATATCGTTGATATCGACGATATCGATATTGACTGATTTTTGTCATCGCTCTTGTTTTTTTTTCTTTATGCAAGACTTGTGCTTGTGTACTTTCTAAATACTAAGTTTGTCCTGCTGTCCATATCGTCGATCGATGATATCGTATCTATATCGAATCATGATTGTTAAAGACTTGTTTTATCAACCTTCACCCTAACCTAAATCTAAAACCTTACCCTAACCTTAACCCCTGACAATAACAACCCCTCATCATGTGTTTTTTTAATTATTAATATAAAAAATGAATCAATATCGACATCGCTTTTGGTCTTTTATAATTATGTTATACATTAACTTGAAAAAAAAAATGACAGATCAGGATCGATATCGATACGATATCATCATGATATTGTCGACGATTATTACAATGATTAATGTTAATGATTATAAATTTCTTTGTTTCCTCAATTAGTTATTCACAACCAAATATATACTTATATTATGAAAGACATAGTATCAGTCATATTTGAAAGCTTGTCCTAAGAGTTAAGATAATACCAGATATTCATTTAAAATGATGATAGTTTGAAGAAGTCAGGTGTAGATCAAATTATCTATTACCTAAATCTCAGGTAGATATTATATTTATTAGTTTATTTATTTATTTATTTATTTTTTTTTTGGACAGGCTAATCTTCTGGTCAACTTTACAAAGTTACTCTTTTTCCTCAAAAATGTATAACCCAAAATACTGTACTTTAATGAATAACATGCTGATGTGAATAAATGGGTCTGTTATAATCACAACACACTGCCTGCTCTTGTATAAATAACTCTTGACAGATTCTGATTAACTGAATATGTGGGACATACAGTGGCTGCATCAATTTCCTGCACATTCTTTCAGATTGGGTCATGGGTATTAATTTCACTTTCATTGTCAATTAGTGTGTTATCTAAAACAGTGACAGTTCATTCTATGTTTTAATCAAATGTAACTGTTACATAAATAATGACCACAACTGCTATCAACACATAATTAGAAGATGGTGATAAAACACCCTTAACTAAATTTTATCTTTCTGTCAAATCTTTGTTATTTCTGCTAAAACTTTATAGGTTTTTGACCACACAGGTGTATAAACAATGTAGGTTAAAAAATTGTTACAAGGTTGTTTGATTTTACATAGCTACTTCCATGTACGCATATGAACTTCCATGTAATCCATATTAGAATAAGACTAGTCAATGATTTTTCTCTATATATAATTTACTTTGATTTGCACACATCAACTTAGTTTCTTTACGTGTGACTTTAAAAAAGATGATTAATTCACATTAATTTACTTAAAAAAATAAATTATATTATGATATGCATACAATATATTGGTGACTCACACTTTTAACAATTTAGAAGTTTATGGAAAGGAATGCACTATGATGCCAGTTAAAGGATCATGATATTTGTACTTACTCTGAAATAATGCAATGATCTTAACACATGCATGCTGTTCTGTAGAGAACTAAATTAATTCAACACTAAGTCACATACACCAAAATTAAATGGTGATCGTTCACAGTTTCGCAGCATCTCGGAAATTGGGTGCATGTGAGATTCTGGCCTTTCACTAATTAGGAAATATTTCTATGAGCCAATGTAATCTTACAAAGCTTTCACTATCAATTAGAAAACTGACAGTTTATTTAATGATTGATAAAAATAAACTGAGCACTACAAAACAATAAAACTTTGCTTTTTTTTAAAGTGTGATATGAACATTTGTTGTTTTCGGATGTCTGCAGCATTTTAAATGAAGATATTTCACATTGCATCTGTCTTTTAGAGTTATTAATTATTGCCAGACAATTTAAGTTAGTATTTGCAGACTGGATTAGATGATTTGATTTAGTTGGTGCATAGTAGGTATGATGGCTTTCATACTCTATAAACACCATAGCATGTATAAATCTTAAAGGAGACAGTGAAAGAGTGATAAGGGCAATAGACAGTAGTGTGAGTAAGCAAAGATGACAACACCAGGAGAGAATACAAACAGAATGAGAATGTGAGGGTGCAAATTTCTGAGAATGGGGGAGCGACAACCCAAGGAAAAGAGAGAGATTGTTATGGCTGTCGCTATAATGCTCTTAATGCAAGGAAGTGAGGGAGTGAGTGGACCCTTTAGTACACCATATACATGTGTATAGAGGTATAAAGTGTTTAACTTAATTTAAAACTAGTTATTATTTTTTGAAATTTTACATGGTAGGCATATTGGGTAATGAATAGTTGAGTGTATAATACTGAAAAACTGCCTTCTTATAAATTGATATAAATTCTGAACCTAATAATTCTTGACAAAATTGTTAACACGTCCAATCAAACCATATTTAAACAACCAGTAAGACCGACTATATCTGTTGATTAATTATATTCAACATAGTTTCCAAACATTTTGAAAGAACAAGGGTTATCTTGTCAGCATCATGTCTGTTTATTCACTACTGATGTAATTTTCTGAAGTTCCAAATACCACACTTGCATCAGTGTCAGCAACTCGCAAATTTTAACTGGGTCATAGCACCTATATATATGAATTGCCAACCTATTTAGTTACAAGACATGAAACAGCCAACATTTATACCAAAAAATGAGACTTTGATACTAGGCAATTTCTTTAACTTCTTTTTTCCATTATTGTATAAAAAAAATCCCAGACTCCAAAAATTGACTCCAAACTCCACTCCAAAATCCACTCCATAACTCCACTCCAAGCCTCCAGTCCATGAATTACACGGTGCCCATTAAAAATATACTTTTATGACATAACATTCGCAGCTTTTCGAGAAATACTTGAAGTCCATTAAGTCAAGGGTCATATCACAAACATGATTTAAATGCCACACTTCATCAGGACTTGTGTAGTCTAGTGGTTAGCGTGCTAGTCTCGAAAGAAAATGACGCGGATACTCAGGATTTTTGGGAGTTGATTTTATCACCTCATAGTCAGCGCGCCAGAGGCGCATCAATACATACAAATGACAAACAGCTACCAAGGGGGTGTCCTCAATTAAATGCAGGATGTTGTGAAAATGGGAGAAATGTTGAAATTAGAGTTTAAACTACAAATTGAGCAGGGTGTGAAGATTTAAAAATGCAATGTATAATCTCAGTAAACGGCAGGCCTAAATATTTATGTAAGAAAATAGATTTACAGATATTGCGAATAAGAAAATAGTGCATATATTCTAATTTTAAGATAGGAAACTCGCTCCTAAAATAGCTTAGATACGTCATTTTCATCAGTTTGTAGGGAAAGGCTGAAGGTATCCTCGTGATTAAAACAATGCATAAACACCATGCTTCGACAATATGAGTCCCATAATAACGGGATTAATAATCAGACATACGATTAAATGCATGTCAGTTTATACAGAGAACACAAAATCAGATTGATACAGACAACTGATGTAAACCCTATAATGTTTATGTACATATGCGAGCAAGACTGATTATCACAGCGGGCCTCCAGTATCTCTAACATGTGTAAAGTTCTAAATCTCCAAACTGCAGCAGACGTGACCTACTTGACTAACTTATTTAGCAGCCTTTTACTTTTGTGCCTGGAATGATAATTATTGATAGTATACACAGGATTAATTTTTATTAGATGTGTAATTGAGATGGCTTATTTAATATTTTTATTTTTGCAGGAATATTAATGCTGTGCATGAATAATTGTCTCAACAATTAGTTCACTGTTGATAGAACGGAATTCGGAGTGGATCCAGAATTTTGCTAATTTTGGGCACATTGAGTATGTTTGGAGTGGAGTGGGGTGTTGAAATAGCCCATTTCCTTCTAAAACAAAACCGTGTGATTCGTATATATTTGCGAACAAAGACCAAATATGTTGCTTTGTGGTTTAATGTACCTGTAATGAAATATTTCATCTCGCTGCAATCTTAGTTAGATTCCAGCGAAAAGTAAAAATAAAAAATAAAAATGATACATTTAAAAATGAATTATGCCACGCAATAAGGTTTAATTTATAAACGAACGAAATTTATTTATATGTAAATACACTGTTATGTCATATATAGTGTATCTTAAACAAATATATACCTAAGTGTATCATTTCTCATGCTCTTATCGTTTGCTCAAAGTATATTAACTTTATCAAAAATATAAATTAATTAATTAAGTTTAAAGAAAGGAAGAAAAAATTCATAGTTTCAATAAATTTAGACATTAAAACCATTGTTCACTTTTTTGATCATTCAATTAACCCTATTTTAATTATTGTATGCATATGAAATTTGGGTTTATTTTAATCCATTTACTACAAAAAAGCATCCCTGGCGGTACAATAGATAGGATGTTATCCAAATCATTCTGTGATAAACTGAAAGTTTGCAAATTAATACTTGATGTACATAAATATGCAAATAGTTTTGCTGTACTATCTGAATTTGGTAGATTTCCCCTGCACTTCGACATTGTAAGATCAAAGATAAGCTATTGGTATAGACTTGAAAATCTGGTAAGTCTTTTCCACCTTTACAAGAGTGAAGATGTATATTGTAAATCCAAGTCACTATGAAAAAGGTGAAGATAACAGACAGTGATTGATCTCTAAAAATCTATCAAACAATACAAATCTGGAAAGAGGGCATAAATTTGAGAAGAATCTCTATTTCTGGTATACATGTTGCTCCATTAATTTTCTCATCACCAATATAGATGGTATTTGTCGTGATTTAACTTTGGTCAGAGTACATCACATGTTTAAATGTTGTACACCTTATTCATGAATTAATGACAACGTGACCGTCGCAAATGAATATTCATTATTTTTGTGATTTTTTCAACAACAAAAATAATAATAATAATAATGAATTATCAATCTTTTTATAATGAAATATAAGTAATTATTTGATCGTATCCCTCATCGTATGACAATAATGAAGTTCAATATTTTCTCAGGTAAAAAAAAAAAAATAACCAAAAAAAAACCCCTGCATTTTCCACACTGGGAGTGTTTGTTAGGTTTTTCTGAATTCTGTCTAAAACAGGATTTTCAGTTTAAAAGAAAACAACATCTGATTACATGTATCTTAGAAACTGAAATTGCAAATTTGACAACTTCACGCAGGATGAGAATGAAATCGGAAAATGACAAATATTTATAAATTGGCTTGATAAAGACCTTGTAAGCTCTTTCATCACATTTTTTCTACATGAATATCATTGTAATGAAGCTTCGCTTTAGATTTTCAAACTCGAAATGAACTTTCAACTTTTCGTCATTTTGTAAACGAAAGATTGCATTCCGATACAGGACACAATAAAAGATAGAATCAAATGAGGAAGAAATTATTCCGAATTAATATTTTTTAATCTATGCTTTTTTTTCTTTTATAATGCATTGAACAAAAATCTGCCATATTGAAAACAATATGACGCCTATGCAAATTAGCAAAACGTACTCCATTTCTCTATATGTAAATTCAAACGTACACTTAAAAATCATTTATTCTAAGATTTTATATATACATGTATAGGAGCGGAATCAACAACTTGAATCACATTCTGACGAAAAAAAAGTCGCTCTGGCACTTTTAAACAAATTTTTGGTAAGGAAAATACCTTAAATTACTGAAAAAATTTGAGCAATGAAGAAGTCTTACACGTGTTTGCATATCATTCAAAAGTTGTGGTCAAATCAAAACAAGCCTTACTTTTTTGACTCCTTAGAATCGTGACATTTTTTTTAGTCTTTTGATACTCGCATACCAAATTAAGAAGCAATAATGTTGTACATAATTTGAAAAGCTGTAAACAAGGTTAAAAACATAAATCGTCCTTAAAATCAACTCCCATCAGTACCTTCAGTACTTTGATTATTGCTAGGGTTCGAACCACACGAATACCACATTTATTTTTTTAATGAAAGAATAAATTTTGCCGAGAAAATTTTCCTCAGAAAAGTTTTGTTTATCATATTTTCATAAATTTCAATAATGAGAACTTTACTCTAAATACTAAATTCACAAACTGAACATGATTTTTATATATCTGAAGCTATAGGCTTTCTTCATGCTATGTTCGCCCATCTCCTTTGGATTTAATTTGTCTGAGAAGAAAAGAGAATTTTGTTTTTTTACACTTAACATAAGAATTTGGAAAATAAGAAAATCTGAAAAATTCTGCATTTTACTTTTCACAAAATCATCGCGTTAAAATATAGCTTTTCAACTGAAAATATTTTGATTCATCTTCATGGCAATCCTACACCAGAAAGCATGACGCTAAGTAAATTTTTTGACAAACATTTCCAACATAGCTGGAATAAACTTTATACAGTAAAACTCGGTTATAAAGAAATCGCTTATAAGGAAATCGCGGTTTTTGGATCTTTTTACAAATATCGTAGAAGACTTTCACTGTGTTACATATGCGGTAAGAGTAAGAAATCAAAATTCAAGGACCCTGTGACTTCCTTATAACCAAGTTTTACTGTATATCTGTGGAATGTTTGTAAGGCATTTATTAATTTTTACAGCGAACTTTGCGTTGACTGACTGTCAGAGTTCACAAGGTCAAGTATACGTAAGCGACAGATCTTCTTCACTTCATTGGCCCCCGTTATGGCCTCCGTCAGTTGCGAGTTTTCCAGTCTCTCCTCCAGACCTTTAAGAATGGCATCTTTCTTGTTTTCCCTCGCACAAATGACAAATGGGAAACCAAATTTATCTTTGTACCTTTTGTTTAGAACGCTCATTCGCTGGCGTTCCTCTTCTGACATCTTGTCCAGTCCCGCGCTCCTCTGTTCTCGCGTGGATTCGGATGTGAGCTGACCTGATTGTGCCAGTCTTCCCGCGAGGTCAGGGTGCAGGCGTAGAATTCCTTCCTTGCCTAGAAGTGTGTGTAAAGAAAGACAATTCTTAGTAAAACTTTGTAATATTGATGAAAAACGACATTAACTTCCTTATTCAATAACTTAATCCCAATATCTGTCTGTTATATTGTTGAAATAAATAATACTGTAACATTAATTTATGCCACTGTGAAGTGCAAATTTATGCGTGCAAAACGATGCTGTCGCTTCACTTTGGGACTAACACTTTATCTTTAGGTGATTCTAGTTCATTACCACATTGGCAGAAGTACTACGTTCCAAAATCCAGTTTAACAATCTCGGTGATTGAATAACTTTAAAACAGCTACAAGTACATACCACTCGTTGGAAGTCGATCTATGAAGTCGCCAAAGGAACTTGCAATGTGCTGCACATCATGAAATGGGCGTTCCCTCCAAACTGCTGCCGCACACAAGCTGCAGTGTTCCACAACATTACCAAAGCACCGTATGAATTCCTCATAAGTCATCTTGTTGACTTTCTTTAACGGAATTTGGGTGGATGGCATTCTTAAAAATTGGAAAATAACTGCGATAGAATACTATCTAAAGCTATATATGGCGTGCTTTCATGATGAGTTCATATAACCAAAATTAAAAAGATTTATCTATTTATTTCATTACTTTATATAAAGATAGGACTTTTCTGTAAATTACACCATTTAAATCAATCGCGTTACAAAGATCATATCAAAAATTAAAAAAAAAAAAAATAAATAACCGATTTATTTACCGACTCCACAAAAATAAAAATATTTGAATAATTCCGCCTTAACTTGACCGCGTGACACTATATTTAGACAATCAACAATATCGGCGAACAATGAGAACGAAACACAAGCAGTTAAAGAGATTTAGAGAGGAAAGCGAGGAAGAGATAGGCAGAAACGGAGAGAAGTAAAGAGAAAATTGTTATATAAATTAAACCTGAGTGTCCCTGTGTGTTTACTTGTTTCTGTCTTAAAGCTGAAGAATTAAACTTTTTAATGATGCCAATTTTTAGTATCATGTTGTGATAAAATACCATGAGAAGGGCCTTGAAGTTACGTCATATTTGACATCATCAAATGGGAGTTATCAGAATTTTACGATTTTGAAAACTTTTAGAGTTGTCGTTCTTTTATTAGACTTCCAGGAACCGAGTCAATGATTGATAATTTTAAAGAAATTTTCCAGAAAATTCACTTCAGTGTTTGTATAAATTTTCTTAGAGTTGGTTTTTACTACATGTAGTATGTTCATTTCAGCATGCATCGGACACAAATTAACCATGCATCGGAACTTGCCGATGCATGGGTAATCACTTCCCTTTTCGTATAGAATCCAACTGACAGCCGTTTTTTGCGGAAATAGAAAATAAAAACTAAATATTCAAAGAAAATACAAGTTTTCGATATATGACGACTATAAGTGACTCTATTTATTACTACAAACTAGAAGATAATAACCTACGAGACAAAGGCGCGAGTTGTCATATTATTATAGCATTATAAAGCATTTCTAAGGCGATGTGATGCAACTAACTCTCCACATTTGTTGATCGATAAAGTCAATTAAATTAAACAAGAAAGTTAATTTTTAAATAAAAGATAAAAATATTTTCATTTCACCAATTTAAAAGCACCGAGATAAAGGTATGACATTTTTCGGTTCAAAATATCGTTTGTCCGATGCATGGTGAATATTCTCCGATCCATGGTGAATTCCGACTCATTCAAAAAAATCGTAATTAATATTTTCTCAATAAATAGCATATAATTGTGTCACAAATTTGTATTTTAACTACACCCTACATTTGAAGCTCCATTTTGATAATATTCGGTCGGTAGCGGTATCGCTAGAACTTGTTGAAGTACAAGGGTGTCCCATGCATTGTGAACTCATCTTATATTTTTACGTATAATGTAGTTGTACATGTATATACCTTTGGTGTTACTGACAAGAAGGGATTATCCTTATATTCGGGCATAATTACAGAGTATGTCCTCTTCATCTTAAAAGCATATATAACAAACACTTTTTTCATTAAAATGACATGTATTAAAACACTCTCACCAAAGGTGACTTAAATTTCATAATCCTATAAGATGTGATACTGTTTTCACCACTTTTTAACTTGTTACTGTGACAGCTGGTGACTACATTGTATTTACATTGTATGTAAATATCGAGTTACCTTTCTTGCGTTGAAAATAATACTGCACTTTCCAAGTAACCAGATAAGAAAGGATATATCGTTTCTTATCAAACAACTGAAGAGATCGTGATAATTCTGGTACCTGAAATCAAGGTGCACGGTTTGTTTTCTTTTTACTTATATCAACTGGAACTTGAGTTCACACACTAAGCCAAGAGCCAATTTTCAAGGAAGATTTTTTTCCGAAAAAATATTGATTATTTTAACGGACCATAAAAAATATGTTTTGCAACCCTTAATGCTCGAATCGGCCATCTAAAAAGTGTCATACTGTAGATCTTTCTCTCTTTTATAAAATGTCACCCGAGTCCCTTCATTCTTCTTTGTTTCCCTCAGTCCCTATTGCTATCGGTTTTTGTTAGCAATAATTTTCTCATGCTTTTTCCGTCAATCGCAAACTTCTGAACATTTTCAGCTCCTTCTCTTAAACTGGATCATCGATTTCGATAAATTTTAGTATACAGCATCTACGGGTACAGGAAAAGATGCGAATTTTATGGTCTCCCCGGACCTGAGGGCATAAACATAAAAAAATAAAGTAGTGTAAATCAATCTTCTTTACTCCTGGACATGCATCAAGTATTCAAACTGTTAGCATGATTATAATAAGCAATGAGTCCTCTACCAAATTTGTAAAATTCATGGCCCATGGGTTTAGGGTAGGGCTAAAAGGTGGGGCTATTTTAGTTTTCATATGGTGAAAACGCATTATATGTCAGGTAAATCGTCTTCTTTACTCAAGGACAACTCGCAGGGGTACTTTTTGTATGATTATGAGTACTCAACTTTTTACCAAACTTCTGGAATTTATACCCTCTTGATATGGTGAAAGCGTTTGGTTCCTCTAAAAAAATATTACAGAATACATAATACACTCTCTTTCGCATGGGTACAGAAACAAAGACCAAAATTTTTCCTCAAGAATGGAATATTCATGAGTATTTGTTCAAAACATGGCATAGAGTGGGGATTTTAAAAATCATCTCAGCTAGACATACATTTAATCGTATTCATATAGAAGCATTCCCGTTCAGTATAAATTCAATGTCTCCAGAACTATCAGAGATTTTTTATGTAAAAAAAAAATTAGGAAAAAAGCTTTGAAAATAGTTTTCCCTCAAAACCAGGGTCGTGTTATTAACTAATAATATTTCATGCAAGCATACCCATGAAGTTAAGATTCAAGTTTATTCATATTAAGGGATTATGCTGGCGCCAGATGTAGTAAGAGTTTTCCACAGATATATTTAGGTGAAAAAAAATCTTTAGAAATCTCTTTCTTATAAGAAACAGGTACATGTAGTGTAGATTCATGTTGCCTCCAATCAAGGTCACCAGGGCTACATGTACTACCGGTAGTTTGGATCCGCAATAGGAGATCAACATCTTAAATGGGAGAACACAGAGAAAATCTTTAATATTCTTTTTCTTTAAGAAAATATCAGTCAGTTTTAGTCATTTAAATATGCTGATGTACTATGGTTTTTAACCCCGTGACCTTGAAGTCTGACTTAATTTAAAAAATAAAATACCATTGCTAATAACTTTTGATTGAGAGAAGATAGGGCATTTACATTTATTATTTTTTCAAGAACTTTCCGAATGTACTCTGGTTTTTTTAACCTCGTGACCTTGACCTTGAAGTTTAACCTACAGATTAACTTATTTCACATTGGTAATAACTTTTGAATAAGAGAAGATGGTGCTTTCATATTTTTACATGTACATTACCTAGGACAACTCTTTTCAGAAAGATAGATCATTTTTGACTTCATGACCTTGACCTAGAATTTTGACCTACTTAGGAAAACTTTTAACTTTGGCTATAACGTTTGCTCCGGAAGAGATAAGGCTTTCATTTTTTTTTTTGACATCTACATTACTTGTGAGCTGTGACAAAATCTTTCGGATTGTATTTTGATATTTAACCTCATGACCTTCATCTTGAAGTTCGATGCAGTTTTGAGACGCTTTAATCTTTGCCATAACTGTTATCAATTCAATAATTTATTGGGTTTTTTTTGTATGATGCACAGACAAGACCGGAAACACAAACAAGACAGTTACAATATGCCATAAATAATTGCACCCTAACCACTAAGACATCAAAAGCGGGGGACCACAATTCTTTGAATTTACTTGTTTTTGTTGAGACTCTTTGACGTGGCCTCTGTCGGGATGGCGATTCCAGCTGACAGTGATTTGATGGTGATTGTAGCACCTTTAAGCTGACATTCGATTAAAATGTTCTGTATCAATGCTCAACATTCGACATATCGTTAGCTGATTTTCGATATCTCTGGCACGAGTCTCAAAGGAAATCTGTCAGAAAATAAAATTGGGATTGAATTTGAGAATGTCGATTTTTAATGACTAACCCTGTCCGTGATTTATCTCTAAAAAAGGAATATGTCTTTCTGGGGGAATCTATTTACTAGAGAGAGAAAGTTTATGTCTTCAGTTTGTTTCATGGAATATATTTTAGGACATTATATCTATATAATTATGTTTATGAATCAATCAATCTTCCTTATGAATTGATATAAAAAATGCACCATTCTTTCCATTTCAATATCTTGCTTCTTCATATAACATTTTATCAATTATTTTATCAACCATTTTAGTTTTATAACCTTTAAACAGCCAAAATGATCATTATGAAAACTAACATTTACAAGGTCTTCAATTTGTAGTTGAGAAATTATTTAAAAAGAGTTACAGCAATTAGATAAATCCATTTTTTTCTCAGACGGCGGAAGTCGTCGCAGCGACCATCTTATAAAGACCAAAGCAATCAGAAACAGTAGTTGTAACACGCTGATAAGCTTCCGGTGGCAGGTCCATGGAAACATTAAAAGGATTTCATATCAAAGGATAATTACGTATTTAAAGAAATGAATGCTATTCTTTGGTATTTTAGCATTCTAAATCCTTCCTTGTATCTTTTGTTTTGTTTTGTTTGCTCAAAAAGTTAGGAAAATATCCATCATTTGAACACAGAATGTAAATGCTAAATGTATTAAGCTGAGAAAACTATTTATGTCAACATGCAGAATAATGTTATACTAAGCAGTTTGTTGAAAAAGAGCATACTGTGTATGTATTATGCAAACTTAGCACTTAGTCTATATTAAAGTTAATTTCAGCATGTAAGATAAATTATGTGAATGAGCAAAATACTCTATAATTTTTTTGACGGACGAAGAGTTGTGTATTTTAACTGCTAGGTAATAGAAATAGATAGTAGCAGTAAAATATGATTAAGAAAGGATTAGAATCATGCAGTTCACATTCATGTTCTGCATATGATAAATTCCGGGTTTATACATTTTACCAATACGATGTTGGGACATAACAATTTCTCAAAAAAAAAAAAAAAAAAAAAAAAAAAACATGATCACTTTCTAAGTTTTGTTAAAAAAAAAATAGTTGAAAATCTACGATGTCTAGAATTTTTATCAATGTACATTACTTTCATGTTCACAAAGCTGAGTTGCTTTTTGACATTATTTAAAAGTTGCATATCAAAATGGTCAAGTTGCTAGAAAACACAAAAAAGTCCACGATGATTTAGTCTTAATCAAATTGTATAAAAATAACTTCAATGTTACCTGAATTATCTTAAATGTTGACATTGAATTGCAATTACAATGTCACATTCTGGTTCTATGGTTGCATATTTCTGCCCCTATATGCAAGTCAGTTTTCTATCAGTTTTTTAATAGATTATGTTGACATTAAATAATTACGTCAACACGCAGTTTATTTATGTGCCTATGTAAAATGGCTACGTTAATGTTTAATAAAAATCTACTAAATAGAATTCCGTTAGAAAGGGGAAAAGATATGGCTGCATATTTTTGTCCTCCTAAATGTGAGTTATTTAATATTTCATTGTACATGTCGACATGCAAAATAAATATATATCTATATGAAAGTTATTATTGTCTACGTGCCAGGTAGCTTTGTCATAAATAACTATCAGATGGATGTTAAAATATTGCATTAAGCGATTGAGATGCAAAATAAAAAGCAACTACTAGTATCCTTCTGTCGTCAATAATTCAGAAATGACACTATTAGATTACACGGTTAATATGTACTGGTACCAGCTGACAAAGCAGGTAACAACACTGTCTTTGTTTGTAAGGCTCAATATTTCAATTGTATTTTAGAGGAGCTGGGATTTAATTCTGCAAGTGGTAATCCATCTTATACCAATAGCCCCCTTTCTAAGGAGGAAATTCTTCAAAATCATATGTCAGTTTTAAATATTTTTAATATTCCCAGCAATCAAATTGAATTTTAATTACCATACTTATACTGAATTCCTAAACTACATAAAAACCCTTACAAACAAAGATACATAGCGGGTTCCAGTAAATGTTCTACCAAGCCCCTTAAATATTAACAGTAGTGAAGGAGAAACTTCAGGAGTACTGTACTACAATATATTCTAGAAGTGGTGTAAATCAGATGTGGATACTTAAAAACTCCAAGGAACGTTTAGAAAATTTGAAATCAAAAAATTTTAACAAAGTCAATAACTTCAAAACGTACGACTTTTCAACACTTTATACAACCATTCTCCACGATAAATTAAAGTCTAAGTTTTTTGACATCATAGACAGCTGCTTTTTCAGTAAAAAATGGAACTCGTAAATTTACTTCCCTTGTTACTGGTCATTTGCAAAATTATTTTGTTAAAAAAAAAAACATTCTGATTGTACACATAAGTACTCCGAAGTTGACATTAAAAAGATGCTTGAGTTTCTGATTGACAGTATCTTTGTAGTTGATGGAGATCAAGTCTTCCAACAATCTGTCGGAATTCCCATGGGTTCCAATTGCGCCCCGTTATAAGCAGACTTATCTTTGTATTGATATGAAGCAGAATTTATTCAAAAACCTATACATTAGGAGAAAAAACACTTGCTGTGGCCTTCAGCTCGCCATTTAGATATATCGACGACGTATTATCAATTAACAATAGTTACTTCCATTCATATGTCGACTCGATATATCCAAGTGAACTTAAAATAAAAGACACCACAGAGTCTGACACATCTGTTTCATATTTGGATATTTTACTA